TTTTATATTTCTGGATTTGTTATAGGAATTCCACAACATCTTTAGAGGACTTATAAATTAAATCAAACAATTTTTGTAATAATTAAGACATCATTTCATTAAAACACATTGTTATAATTATACTTATTCTATACAAAAAACGTAAAAGAGTATTTATTGGAGTCTCGCTCAGTTACTTCGCATGCAAAATTTTAACTATTTATCACTATTGTTCACTTCAAAACTATTTCGCGATAATTCACGACCGGATTTCAAATTTTATTAAAGATTCATCCTTGGCTTAATTGCATTTCTTTTTGGAAAAACACATTAAATAATAATGCACTGTATACCTAATACGTACTTCAATAGAGAGAACTTCATCTAAATTTTCATAATTATTCTATAGTTTTTTATATATCGCGTAGAACACACGATTATAAAATATGACGACCGTGATGTCAATTAGCAATAAGTCGACAAAGAGATGGTACTTTTAAAAATAATAAATTTTACTGCAATAAACATTTTTGGCAAATGTTAGCTACGTCTGTGAGCTCTACCGAAGTTTGTAGACCGAACAATAATTTCTGGATTGGAAAAACGACTCAAAGTTAATTCGATCCAGAAGTATATTTTGAAGAACTTCCCGAACTAACTCGAAAACAACTTCAGGACGGTCAGCAATCACAATCAGTGGTTCTCTAGATTAAAACCAATAAAAACACTATTATCCCATTATAGCCGTCCACCATTACCTAACCTACACCATCCTGCAATCATTCCTATATCAAGTTTTTAAAATAAGGCCTTATACGGGAACTGATCTGATTCGAAGCATTTTTAATATCGTTCGTGCTTAGGTCAAAACACGCTAACGTATCAAACTTGAATACAAGAAGACAAGACAAATGGACAAGTTTAAAACTAAAATGACTAATATTATATATAATAGGTGTTTTCATGTATTTTGATAATTTTTTCACTTGGAAAATGTATTCATTGAGAAAACTTGATACAATGTATATTAATAATAATAGTTTCCATCATTCACTAAAACTTTTTCGTATCATTTTGCAAAATGGCGAAGCCATGTCAAAGGAACGATGTTGGTTTGGCGGCGACCCAACCTTCGACCCATTTTCGTATTTCTGTAGCATTTCGAAATCGCCTAACAGCCAAGCCATGCTGCATCGATCTGAACAAATGAAAATCAGAAGACGCTACGTCGGGTGAGTACGTTGGGTGCGGCAGAATCTCCCATCCAAGCTGCAGCAACTTTTACAATATATGGCCGAGCATTGTCATGCAAAGAGAATGACTGTGCGTACGTTTACAGTCATTGCTCGTCTTTTTGGCGACAATACATCGTTACATTTTTTCAGCTAACGTCGCCAGATATTTGCAATAACAGTTTCATTCATTCATTAGAAGCTCGTAATACGGTATAACTTGCTGATCCCACCACATGCACCACAAGACTAACCCATGACTTTTTTCACTGAGATTGTTGTAGTAGATCGACTTTTCATCGCCACTCGCAGTACGCCACACGAAGGTCATTCTTTGTTTTCGCCTGGCCAGCAACGAAGCCTTGATGTTGAAATAGTTCGAGACGGCACTTTCAGTCAATTCGAATTGTAGCCCTTTCCCCCACTTTTGAATATTTTTCATCGCAACTACGCGTCTACGAAACAGTTGATTCATCAGTTGCTAAGCTGCTTAAAGATATTTTGACAATTTGCGCTGGTTCCGTCCAATAAGTCTTGCAATTCGTTATCTTCGAACTTTTTCACTCCCCCAGGACGCAAGATCACCACTTCTAAACCGTTGAAATAAAAATCGACATTTGGGATATGTTGGATTACCATGAGCTTCTAAAAAGTAATGAAAGTCGAAAATGCAATTTTTAGCGTTCCATCATGAACGTCTGTGTACGCTCAACAACTTAACAACAACTTACTAATATTCAAGGGGAAAACTATTATTTCATACAGAGAAAGATCAAAATCATCGTGTACATTAATACGTCGCATTACTTTATCGTGTTCGCTAATAGATATCGCTGATCGGAATACACGCAAGCACCTATTATATGTATACTACGTCGCGCGCGCGACTTAGATCATAAGGAGAGGTATCAAAATCGCAGTCAAGAGCAAATATATATGGACTGGCCTTTATGTTGATACTATATATATTTATTCAACGTCGTACCATCCGCCCATCTTTTTCTTACAAGATTAAGTCGAATGACCTCTAATTCTGTAGAAATTTTCCAGAATCGGACTTAAAGAGACATAGCTCTTATTTGATTACATTTCATGTACCTAAGGAAATTTTTATAGAGGATCTTGTCTAAAGAAAAACGATAAGTTGAATTTGATTTCAATGCGTATTCTTCGTCAGTTATTAGAAAGTGAGTTTAGTCAGAATTTGCAAATACAATCAATCTAAGCATATATTTTATAGAACCTGCTGCTGATGATCATTGGAAAAGCCAAGCAATTATTTTCTACACATTTCTGGGATAATCCGTGAATCGAAAAATATAATATTGAAACAAATTACATTCACTCAAGTTGATAAATAAAAGAGTCATAAAAGCAGATACTGTTTCTATCCGACTATTAAAGAACAGAGAGGTTTTTTTTAATTTTCATTTGGTGTCTAGTAAGCAAGTTCTACGAAAGTTCAAAAATTGTTTGAAGGCTACAACCTTTTGGTTATAATGGAATGCTTTTATCCCTTGTATCTTTCATGGCAATGTAACGGATATTGATTAGTACTATAAAATAAAAACAAATAAAGTTTTCATAACCACCTGAGCGATGTAGCAACATAAAGAGACATTACCATTAACGCTATATAATCAGTCGCAAATATGTTGAATGGACTAAGTTGGGGGATATAGATATTCACAGGGTACCCTATAAATAATATTTCATTTGCTTTTAACGGCAACAAAGTTAATAGCGCCGATTGACACAACAGTCTCAACTCTGCTGATGACGCATCAGTCACAATCGTCGTAAATTCAAAAAAAAACCCAGTGTGCTGCCTAACTCTACTTGTGCACACGCGAGCACAGTGGTTTCACTTATGCTTTCCGCAATTCAAAATAACCCATCCTCTGGTCCTTATTATTCGACTGCAAGTGCTTTAACCTATTTGAGCTAACTCAAGCGTGGGACAACTCAAATGATCAATAATTATCTAATGGCAAAAATTCTTACCTCTTCGTAATCTAATCCGCCAAATTCTCATAATCGAAAGGTCTGCATTTCTATTTTTAGAAAGTTTAGTTCCAACTAATAACCGTTAAACTGTTTAAAATAGATCATTGTGATCACAGCGATTATGAATTTAAAATTCTTTTTTTCAGAGAGGCAGTCCACACAGCTCTTTCACGGATATGTAATTATGTGTACAAAAAAAAAAATAAATAAAAAAAAAAACTGCCGTTACTGTAGAAATGAATATCGATTTGGGAATGAAGTGTGACTTCAATCAATTGATACAATATGTCATACATCAAGCGGCGAATTCAATTGTGTAGACGAAGATAATTCAATGATCATGTTATCTCCAGAAAGGCGGAAATCAACTGGTTACCAAAAGCATGCGAAATAAATCCAATGGACTGGGGTCATGTAAAGTTATTAGGTGTACTGCAAGCAATCACAAAAAATCCATAGCCTCAACACCTCAACCAGTTTTTTTTACCTCATTCATGCGAAGTACTGAGTGCTGAGTTAGGCGGAGAAACGATTAAAGTTTGTTATTCGACATTAGAACTTTTGAAAAAGTCCAGAAGCGATCATTTATGCAAACTCATATTAAAAGAAGAGGAGACGAATGCCATGAAGTGCTATGTAAATTAAAGAAATAACTCGCATTTCTATTCGATCTAAATGTACTTTAATTTTGAATTATATATAAAGAGGCAGCATTTGAACACCCTACGCTAAAATTTATGTTTAACTTATATTACCTCAATCATTAATTAGCCTCCGATACAATTATGCATAACATAAGATAACTTAATTAGGCGTTTTAGGTGAGCGTTTGACGAGAAATGATTTATGAAATGCAGACAAGCGTTACATCTCGACAAAATTGAATTGAGAACATCTGACCTGAAGTAATGCACCACAATATACGAAACAGTACAACAATCAAGTGCAGCAAGCAGTCTGTACCATATGTACGGTGTTCTTGCAAGTAACAATAATGGAGAACAATAAAAGCAACAACGATCAAAAAGTTTATATTACAAAACCATAAAAATACCGCAAGAACTTTTACTGAAATTTTACTTCAACAAGAAAAGAAGAAAAAAAAAAAAAAATTGTTAAGCCTTAAGCAAGCGCAATGACAAGTATACCTACCTTGTGTGTGTTGATTGTTCAGCAATGCCAGCAGCAATACACAACGTGACCACTATGTTCACAGACAATCCATATGTTATTACGTATACTTTGGTTTCGGCCAGTTTGATATGTTTGGTAACCAACCAATGTCAGCAAAAGACTGCCGAAATCTCTTTTGGTTGTTTACTTTTAATTTCATTTTTATTTTTATTGTTTAAAGATACGTTTTCTTGTATGTGATGGGTCTCGAGCATCTCAAGTATTATTTACGTTCACATACGTACAAATGTAAAATAATTTTTCAAGGTTTGTTTTAATAAAAATTTTAACACTTTACCGCAAAAGCGGCATGTGTCAAGCAGCAGTAATATCAAGATGATGATCATCATCATTATACATGACATATACATCACTATACAGACAAACAAGCAAACAAAATATGTTAGCAATAAATATGTCTTCAATTACATATAATGAATATGTAGTAATGCTGTCGTTGTCGTTATTGTTATTTTATGCAAAAAAAATACACATGCTTTACATATAAACTTTACACATCGATTCACATTTCTCAACATTTTAATTCATTTTTTTTTTTTTTTTTTTTTTTTTTTGCGGTTCGTCTGATAATAGTCCTCTTTTTTTGTTTGCAATTTCGTACCTGTAATTCCTTCTTACATTATTGTCATGGGTATAGAAAAATCAAAGACGAACCATTTTTTTGACTCATATTTCCATAGTCTGTGATTCAAGCTCAAATAGGCTCAAAATACGACTCAGCTCTTTAATTAATTAGTGCAGATTATAAGTAAATTATGCTTATGGTTATTGCCACTAAATTTATTATCTCCTTTTTTTTTTTTTAAACAATACTTTAAATTAAAATTCACTGAAGCCGCCTGAGTGGCCGAAGGCAAGGAATCTCGAATAGCAACTCAATGTTAGTGGGTTCGAATCTCGAGTGTGGTCGAGTTTTTAATAAAAGCCGATAGCCTTAGATGCATGCTAGTGCTTTAAGAGTTTAGTCTTAGAATTTATTTCTCTGGCGAAATCAATAATAATAATAATAATAAACTTCACTGAAGGATCCGCGCGTCACCTAATTTCTTCATGGCTTCGTATCAACTCTTATTAGAGTTGCCTATATGTCTATAAAATTCAAAAATCGGCCTACATATATATGATCCTATGTATTATATAGTATTAAAAATCTAATACTTGATCCTATATATATATATATATATATATATAAGTTTTCCTATTTTTACTTTCACAAGTTAAAAATATCGCTTGAGATCAGGCAACTACCTGTCTTCAGGCGTGCTATTCATTCACGGATATCCGCATTTTAATTATAAGACATCTATATGAGTTTTATAGAAATTTAGAGTTTTAAGTACATCTCGAGATCACGTTGTCTGATGAAATTCTTCTTTATCTCTCTTTATCACATACTATCGCAATCCATAAAGCGCTCCCCGGAAAGGCCTAAGGTTCACGACAACCATTATCCGACAAGGAGTCCGTAAAGTAGTGCTATAGTGGTCCAAATTTAGCTAAAGTAAACCATGTAACAGTTTTCATCATAAAGTATTAGTATTGCAAACACGAAAACAAAGCAATCGATTTAACTTCTGCCGGATAACTTAGAACATATGCTCAACGGTATTGAACGGTACGCCACGGCACTTCAGATTTGCACCAACGACAATCGCGACCCTTTGTTTATTCGGCTACTCATACAGATGAGAAGGAGACAGATATATGTGACACTTACCAAAAAGGGATGTAAAGTGCAAATATGTATGAGCTCACGTTGCTTCAAACATAGTCTAAATTATTGTCTTCAAGCAGATAACATTTTTTCTGTTACTCACGATTAGGTCTCTTGTTGTGATTTATCGAAACAATTAACTCAGAATTCGTTTTAATCTTTTTATAGGGAAAAGATGTTGACATTGCATTTTTTAATGAACATTCTCGAATAACATTTTCATTACAAATGCTTAATATAACAAACGCTATTGTAAGTAAACAAATAACAAGGTCTTAAATGGCCTTACGACAAGCAATTGGTAATCAAAAACATGTGACTTGATACAAAATTCCACTTAAGCTGTATTAGAAAAATATTTACTCTACAAATATTTATTTGGGCATTAAGAAAATATATTTTGAATGAATATAATGTTCTTTAAAAAATCCAAGCTATCGATCCAAGAATTATATCGTATACAACATTTTGGTTTTCCAAAGCAATTTCTATGATTTTTCGAAAGCAAATATCATTCGTAGTGACTGATGGATCATTGCCATTCCAAATTAACTTAAATCTAATCAAGAACGCATGGTGTTTCCAGACAGACACCATTACACAGTGCGCTTCGTTGGCGAGTGTACTGATTCACTCAGTTACGTTTAACTAAAACACACACTAATTCCATAGAATAGACTTTCTTTAAACAATTTTTTTCTAACTGCTATACCGCTTGTGGCACAAGGGCCTATTGAGCTTGTTCGGGTATATGCAACACTCAGAAAAACTTATGGCAGGGCCATCTCCTATCAGATGATTGCATGTATTCCGATCAGCGATATCTATTAGCGAACACGATAAAGTAATGCGACGTATAAATGGACACGACGGTTAAATTCGATGATTTTGATCTTTCTCTGTATGAAATAATAGTTTTCCCCTTGAATATTAGTAAGTTGTTGTTAAGTTGTTGTGCGTACACAGACGTTCATGATGGAACGCTAAAAATTGCATTTTCGACTTTCATTACTTTTGTCGTTTGATTTATAAAAAATCTGCTGCCGAAACCCATCAAACACTTTTAGAAGCTCATGGTAATCCAACATATCCCAAATGTCGATTTTTATTTCAACGGTTCAGAAGTGGTGATCTTGCGTCCTGGGGGAGTGAAAAAGTTCGAAGATAACGAATTGCAAGACTTATTGGACGGAACCAGCGCAAATTGTCAAAATATCTTTAAGCAGCTTAGCAACTGATGAATCAACTGTTTCGTAGACGCGTAGTTGCGATGAAAAATATTCAAAAGGGGGGGAAAGGGCTACAATTCGAATTGACGCAAAATGCCGTCTCGAACTATTTCAACATCAAGGCTTCGTTGCTGGCCAGGCGAAAACAAAGAATGACCTTCGTGTGGCGTACTGCGAGTGGCGATGAAAAGTCGATCTACTACAACAATCTCAGTGAAAAAGGTCATGGGTTAGTCTTGTGGTGCATGTGGTGGGATCAGCAAGGTATAGCGTGTTACGAGCTCCTAATGAATGAATGAAACTGTTATTGCAAATATCTGGCGACGTTAGCTGAAAAAATGTAACGATGTATTGTCGCCAAAAAGACGAGCAATGCTTCGAATCAGATCAGTTCCCGTATAAGGCCTTATTTTAAAAACTTGATATAGGAATGATTGCAGGATGGTGTAGGTTAGGTAATGGTGGACGGCTATAATGGGATAATAGTGTTTTTATTGGTTTTAATCTAGGGAACCACTGATTGTGATTGCTGACCGTCCTGAAGTTGTTTTCGAGTTAGTTCGGGAAGTTCTTCAAAATATACTTCTGGATCGAATTAACTTTGAGTCGTTTTTCCAATCCAGAAATTATTGTTCGGTCTACAAACTCCGGTAGAGCTCACAGACGTAGCTAACATTTGCCAAAAATGTTTATTGCAGTAAAATTTATTATTTTTAAACGTACCATCTCTTTGTCGACTTATTGCTAATAGACATCGCGGTAGTCATATTTTATAATCGTGTGTTCTACGCGATATATAAGAAACTATAGAATAATTATGAAAATTTAGATGAAGTTCTCTCTATTGAAGTACGTATTAGGTATACAGTGCATTATTATTTAATGTGTTTTTCCAAAAAGAAATGCAATTAAGCCAAGGATGAATCTTTAATAAAATTTGAAATCCGGTCGTGAATTATCGCGAAATAGTTTTGAAGTGAACAATAGTGATAAATAGTTAAAATTTTGCATACGAAGTAACTGAGCGAGACTCCAATAAATACTCTTTTACGTTTTTTGTATAGAATAAGTATAATTATAATAATGTGTTTTAATGAAATGATGTCTTAATTATTACAAAAATTGTTTGATTTAATTTATAAGTACTCTAAAGATGTTGTGGAATTCCTATAACAAATCCAGAAATATAAAACTTTTAGTTTATTTTTTGCTTATCTATGGCATTTGCAGGTGCTTCAAATACTATAAATATCATATTTGCGATAGGAGAAGAAAACGCACGTTATGCAAAAGCATGTGACTAAAGTGTGTGATTAAAGTTGTTCTATCGCTTTTTACCTCTCTTTCTCTCTCTCTCAATATCTCTTTCTCCCTCTCTTTCTCTCACACACACACAAATCAAAAGAATGAATCTGTAATTACATACTGACATATTAAACGCTTAACCTTACATATATATAAAGTGCAATCACCTATTACAGCGTTACAATATATTACCGACATGCCAACTTCGCATATCGATTCGTTCGTTAATCTTCGTTTAATTAACCTATCTAATCTTAAAAATGGAACGATAAAAATTTCACTTGAATTTTGTATATATATCTGCAAATTTTTTCGAATTAGACACAGTTAAATTTGTTATTGAATTCGCTAAACTTCATAGAAACTATTCCAAGGATACAAAAACATGAAGTCTGGTAGGCTATAAAAATAAAAAATAAAAAAAAATTTTAAAGTATGACAATCAACTTAAATAATTAAATCATTTCTTAGGTATCTTTTGCTTATTATTGATGGTGATTGCCTTAAATTATGCATTGTCTTGCAATCCTGACGGCAACAATAAGCCCGTTTGTAGCCAGGATAATTTGAATCAACCCATACGCAATTTCTGGGACCCGACTTGTTATTGGTTGTGCGGGAAGGCCGGCGAAGAGCCAATATGCGAGCGCTGCATGTCAAGTACAATGTTCGATTCTGCACAAGGGAAATGCATTCCATATTATGAATGGGAATGGACGCCACCCTGTCCATTTGCAGTACATAATTGAGAAAAAATGATGAGTTTTTAATTAATTACTTTTTAAAAATTACATAAATTTGCTGTTGTTTTCAATGAGCGCTGCTCTTTAGCAATTAAAATTTACTTTAAATAGTGTATAGTTATATTAATAACAACTGTTTCCTTTTTTAATAAAACCGGCCCGGGGGCCCGTAATATATCATTATCATTATCATTAAATTCAAATGTAGTCTATAAAATAATTGAGAAAAAAAAAAAAAAAAAAAAAAAACAAAATTAAAGCAAAACAATGCAAATGCTAGCTAGCAGACAAATCGAAATCAACATAACGATATATTAAACACTTTGATATGAGACATTTACTCAGTCATGCGTCTATTCTTCTCTCTTTCGCTTCTTTCTCTACCATTCTCAATGTGTGCAGTGTGTTTCAACGCGGCAACAAAAACTAACCAACAAATTGGGCAAATTTCCAAAAGTAGTCTATGGCACACAGTGTGAGCCAAAAATTACATGTAATATCTACGAGATATGAGGTTGTGTATCTTTTTTTTTTTTTTTTTTTTTTTGTGTGTGTGTGTAAAAAGCCAACGAACGAACTGAATGTACAAAAGTTCAAGAATGAATTCAAATAATGAAGCAAACACTACATTCACAAAAAAAAAAAATGTAACAACAACAACAACAAAAACAGAAAAATTCATGAATGAATGAATGTCACGAGACAGCGACAACATATTGCAGAAAATCTTTATAGACAAAAATTACATAAAAGCATATACGTATAAATATCTACAAATATTCTCATATATATATATATATATATATATATATATATATTAGCACTTTTATGTTAGTAATCATGTGCTGATGCTGCAACTGTTAATGTTTTGTATATGAGATTTTAGTATAATTTAAGTACACGAAAGCATCGAAACACATTACTTTAAGAGACCGTCGAGTTGCTTCAATACAAAAGTTTGTATTCGTCTATGTGGACATGATATAGCTTATCATCATCATTATCATCATCATCATAGATCAATATTTTATCTCCATCATCTCTGTAAACGTGCGATACATTATTCCTGTACGATTTATAAAATGAAAGTTAAGTAGAATAGATTTCGGTGTTTTCGATATATGTATATATATATATATATATTAGGCAAATTCTGATAATTTGAAAGCGTCGACCACTTATGAAAAAAATAATAATAATAGTATTCTTCTTCAAGATATTTCGCTCCTCAGAAACGAGTTAAACGGGAAATATATTGAAAAGTTTTAATACAGAGTCACTATGATCTGTAAAAATCTGTATGATTCAAATCATTTATATTAAACTTTTCATTTGTTGATCAAAAATATATAACTTTTGTGTGATATGTGTCGCTAACTATATCGTTCGAGTAAAACATTATTCGAGATTGATTTAAATACATGTAGGGTGTGTATTCGTTTTTTTAGTTTATTTTCTTTTTCTCGCTTAAAGTTAGTACTAAACTTCATCATATGAATGATGTCAGTTATAATGAAAACAAATGTGAATATTAATCTGAACTCATGCATACATATGGACATAAAACAATTAAAAATAAAAAATATTTGCGAGTGCTGAGTCACTTTTGTCTTTTACTTTTGACGTCCATAGTGATGATGATGATGATGATGATGATGATGACGACGATCACCATAATGTTTATGTTTAGGAAAAGCGAAAAATGATTTCTTGGCATTTTATTGGTTGGCTTGAGTTGATGAGATCTGTTCCAGTTTTATGGTTTTGTGACTTCATATTCGCTATATTTATGTATATGAAAATATATTTATTTGGTTCATTGCTTCGGTTAGCTGTTGTTGTTTGCATTCAAAACAAAATTTATTTTTTATTTTCTTTTCTGTTTTCAGTCTTGCTTTTCCGCCGAATTTTTATTTAATTGCAGCTGAAGTATGACAATCATAATAATTTTAATATTTCTGTTCTGTTGTTGCCTTAAGAGATCCTACATAGATGTCTATAGAAGTTTAAAGCGGACTCGCGCAGTGATACTGCAACCATATGCTGTCCGATAGCACACGAGATGAGAGTTCGTCAGTAATTGTCACGGGGCTGATAAACCTTTGTACGCCAAAGGGAGATATACGACATATATAGATGATATATTCCCCTTCTGTCCTATAAAGTATATAAATAAATGTGTCTGATTTTTATTGTTTAGTTTTAGTCTTTAGTTTCCTTTTATTTGAAATTAAACGCGTTTGGTTTTTTTAAACGAAGAAGCAATGTTTCGACCAAATTGGAATTCGAGAGCCTCGTTTTTGCGATCGGAAGAATGTTTGGCGCGGATGTTACGCAGATGGGTAGACAAATATATGGACATGCTCGATCGACGGTTTAAAAACAATCGAGAATATCTATAGTCTGTGGGGTCTCTATGGGTTCTTTGTGGACATTGGACGTTTTAATAAATTGAATATGCCTCGATTCAGATATAAATATAGCTGCATCTAGTCCCGCTTCTCTTTCATCTTTCGCTCTCTTTTGCGTTACCCTACAATTTTTGTTACACTGGGTATATAGTAAGTTTGTGCGGCTGCATGCACCACCCAGAAGAATTTAAGATAGACTCAGCTTTTATTATACCGAACAATTCATGTTCATTTTTGAAATCGATTAAGCTTATCCGCCTGTCTAACGCCTAACGACATATTTATGCTTTCAATCTACAGATCGGTGTCTATGAGATATTTTGCTGGAATTTAGTATATGCACGTGTTTTCCGCTTACGGATGGCTTTATTTAGCATGGACCGGATCGCATTGTTCTTACGACTGCGCTATTTTGGCAAAAATTTTTTCATGAAAAAAATTAACGAACACGAAAATTCCTGGGCAAAAATGTCGAGTAATAGTATTTCGGCGTAATAAAATGATGTAAACGATTTGGAGCAGCTGATGTCATTTATGGAGTCCACTTTCATACAATCGAAAAAACGCCTTTATAAGGCAACAAAGTCTAAATATTATTTACCTTATGACGAAAATAAGGTGAAAAAAAATAACGTTTTTCACAAGAAAATTAATTTCGCTAAATTAGGGCGAAATCAATTCATCATGTTTTGGGCGTCATGTTAAAACGAGAGGTCATGTTGAAAAATAATTTTTACTTTCGAATATCTTTGCTGAGAAGAGTTTTATTTTTCTGAATAAAATCTCACATTGGTTTGAAAAATCTCTTTAAGCTTTTTCCGGACAAGGAGGAGTCCAAACCCATTCACCCAGTGGTATGCAATCCGCTTTGTCAGAGCTGAATAACAAACCGTCATCACAGCGCTTGTTTTCTGGTTCACCGGTGGCGTTCTCGCATTCCCAATAATGCGTAGGATCCCAGAAATTGCGTTGTTTGACATTCACATTTGAAGAGTTGCATTCGGGTTTGCCATCGCCATCAGGATTACAGGCCAAAACGCAACTTAAGGCAACGGCCAAGCAAACAATCAAACAAAATGCTAGAATTTTAATTATCCGAGAAAATTAAATTTGATCTTCACTGCCTTCGCATGATATTTACCAGCTTTCATATTTTTGTTTATAGGCTTCGGTACGACTTCAGTAATGATCTTTATGAAAGTAAATCACAAACTTTCTGATTTTGAAGATTGCAGTCGGTATTTATAATGAAATAGTGGACCAATTGTGAAATTATTTCAAATAATTAGTTGGAAACTTTTAATAAAAACACTTGTAATATATTTTACGTTTACATTACAACATTATTCAATATGGGGCCCAGTTAGTTAAATTTAACAAGGGAAAAAAAAATGTTTGGAGAACAAAGATAAACGAGAAAATGTATTAGAATCAGTTATGACCGAATCTTTTATACCTATTCCAATTTTTATATTAATATGAACAAAATAAAAAAAATAAAATTAAGATGACTTTGATGATGCTATTCTCTCTATCTTTCTGCGTGTACCCTTGGATGACTCATGGAATATATATGAAAATTTGTATCGCAAAACCCAGTTATATATTCAAGTTTATAAGCAATGAGCGAACAATCCCGTCTTCTTTTGTGTGTATTGTGGACTTGGCCGTCCATTGATTTGATCCATTTTCTATATCGATCTGCATACAAGAATTTCCGGATTTGAAGGCGATATATTAATTTTTACGACCGGCTGAACATATACGGCAGACAAACGGGCAAATCAATTCACAGATCAATTCACAATAATATCTGTGCATTTTATATTGTCTGTCAAGTTTCGTTATGAGTGGGGTAAACGTTATCACAAAATGATTGTACTCCTACTTTGCGTCGATTGATATAAAAATAAATTAAAGTGTGATCTTGAAGTTTAGTACACAATAGATAAGAGATTGGAAAATTAAAGCGATAATGTGAACAACACTGAAGAGATAGGAAGCGTTAAATAAAAAAAAATTAATATTAAAATAATAATAAGTCAAGTCTTGGGGAGACTTGTGGGTTGTCATCATTTTTATTGAAAGTGATAGGAACGTTTTAGATCAAACAAATTTTTGTATATGGCTATAAAATCATAGTTCTTAAGTTAGTTAAAATTTTTTTTTTTTTTTTTTTTTTTAGTTTCTTAGATATTAAGCCCATTTCCATATCAATAATGGTGAGCTACAAACTGAATTGCTCCTAATAGCATTAAACTTTTCGACTAACGTGGCTAAAGTGATGTCTGCGAGGTCTAACGTTTGTCAAGAGCGCACATATCATAAAATTTTTAATTCGCATTAAATTATAAAGTTAGTACGTTATTGTGTTGCTTTCTCGGATACAAAAGTTAATCAAAAATTTGTAAGTGTTTCTACTTCCATATAAGTACTTTAGTAAATAAAAAACTAACGCACACAACATATATAAAATGATTTTATATATATATATATATATATATATATATGTACATATGTCTGTGGTTCTTGTCGCGATAAATATACTCGTACATCCAATTAGTTTCAACAAAAGAGTTCAATTTCACTTCCAATTCGATTGATTGCACACGTATCGAACGGGATCGCATACAGTTTTATAGGCTTTCGTTGACAATCGCAATCATACTTTTAATTTGCTTTTTACCGCCCAAAAAGCCCGAAAAAAGGAAGAGATTTTATTTATTCATTTTTTTTATTTTTTATTTATTTTTTTTTTTTTTCGTCTTCCACAATAGAGAGACATTTGTGCCCAGCAATGTATTTGTCGTTATTATTGTCGTTACGTGTGTGTGCTCGACTATCTTTAAATTGAAATCTATTTCAGTGATGAAGTCACATTTGAATTGCAAAAATACATAAAACGAAACAACAACAACAACAACCGTAAAAAAAAAAGAAAAAACAAAAAAAAAAAGGAGAAAAATTAGACAAAGAAAAAACGCTTCACGAAAATGTATGCGGTTTATGTTGCACGTTAAACTAGCACCACGTAACGATGGAACACTTTAATGCTGGACTCATCGGATGGATTGGCCAATTGGCCAAGTCAATACTATAACGAATATTAGAAAGCAATTGTGTATCATCTAATCTGATCGGTATCAAGATTTTTCGATGATCGTAAATATCTCTATTTTGATATGCAAAGGCTTTGGTCGGCATTTTATTATAAATTTTTGCAAAGGAAATATTTAAAAATTAACAAAATGATTGAGAAACATAGAATAATGACTTAAGGATAAGTCTATGTAAGCAAGTAAATCGAGTCAACCAGGAAAAGGTATTTGAAGATGTTGCAACAAGCAAACATTTGCTAATAAAAGTTGATATCTTGTCACCAAATCTTAACAACAAATTTTTTGTTGTTTCTCCGCTTATATTATGCTTATAAGACAACGACATAAGCGCAAACGATGAGTATTGCGGTAGCAACACGTATTTGATATTATTGTCCAGATAATTGTTATGTTCATTTGGTATTCTTGAACTTGTTACTGGGGAGCACGAAACGGAAAAGCAACGAAAAATATTTACGCTATGTACCACAGTAGGGTAAAAATTTTAGTAAAATGCGTGTCAGCTGTTTTTCTTTTCTTTTCTTTTCTTCTTTTTTTTTTCTTTTTTTTTTGTTTAAAGAACCGAGTATACCGCGATAAATTCGATTTATAGGCATATTTTGAGAGAACAAACCTTTTCTTACATATATCATTATTTAGATTTAATTATTTCTGTATATGATTCATGTCAAGTTTAACTTTTCTTATATCGATTGTTTTCCTCGTTATGTCAAACGTTATGTCGTCTTGTTGAGTCTTGTTCTGACTCGGAAATCCAACGAGTTTCTCCTTTAAGTCTATTATTATCTATCTATCCGCTTGAGTGGTCGACTAGGCAAGAGTCTCGACTAGCAACTCAATGATCGTGGGTTCAAATTTCAAGTGCGGTAGAGTTATTAAAAATAAAGTCAAAAAGCCTTAAACGCTAGTGCTTTAAGACTTTATTTAGAGTCTTACAATTTATTCTCTGGCTAAATGTATAATAATAATAGTAATAATAATAATAATAATATTTAATATAATAAAAGAACTTCTTTCAGATTACGATGCGTTTAAAGAAAATTCAAATGAATTCTTAAATTGACCTGAAATGAATGACACGTATTTAGGCATATGTGTAAGTCCAGACTTTATTTTTTTTTTTTCATTTTTAATGAAACGCTGGACTCTGAGCCATGATTTCTCGGCAAAAGGTTTACGATAATATATATACAATATATAGATTGGATATGGCATCGCGTACAAGGCATTAGGTCGCCGCAAGATATCCTAAATATCCATTGAGTTAATTTTTTAAATTAAATCTAGAGCAAAAAAAAAATTGCAAAAAATATTATTGAACGAACAAACTGATATATGTGCCTATGAATCAATCATATATGCACTCTAATGGCATTTTTATAAAAAAGTTGAATATTTTTTTTAAACTTTAATATTATTAGGCTGATCATTGAATCATAAGCCAAGTAACGCTTAATAACAACGTTTCCATTGTCCGAAAGAATGAAGAGAGCAAAAACAAAGAAACCAACAAAGCCCTGTTAAAGGAGTATCGAAGGACTACAATGAAAAATAATATATTCCAGGTATACATGTGCGTTTGTTTAATCAACAAACAATTCATCATGGCAATTGGACAAATTGTTATAAAAGAAATCAAACAATTAAAAGAGGAAGATAAAAACAAACAAACAAAATGAAATTTTTTTTTTTTTACTTCTTTCTCGATAGTCATGCACATCCCTATGCATGTAATGTTTGCTTTGTGTCTAGCTACACGCATACATACTTAAAAGTAAATTAATCTAACATGAATTTTTCAATTTCAAGGAAAAAAGAAAACAAATAAAAAAAAAAAAGAAATAAATATAAAAAAAAGAAATAAATAAAAATAAAAAGGAAAAGGAAAAACAACAAATGCTGAGAAAGACATTTTGCTATTGTGTATTTTATTTACATTTAAATATAACATTTCGTAAAATCACCGAAAAAAAGGCCAACGTCTAAAGGAAACCAGCTAGCTATATAAATAATATAGAATGAAGGGAAGAACGAACGAACGAACGAACGAAAAAAAACTCAATTTCGGTAACGTATGTTCGAATATTTACTAACACTCCTTTCTATCGAATTGCTGCTCTTGTCGTCGCTTCACAAAAGGACAACACAACGCAGATGCCTACTGCGCCTCATACAGTTTAAAGAGCTGAGAAAAAGAAGAAAGCAAAGCAACGCAGACCTAAAAACTGAAAATTGCCTGCCTTCTCTATGCAATTTTACATTATTCGCTTTTTCTTTTTGTTATTTTTGTTGCTATTTTTTTTATTTATTTTTTTTTTTTTTTTGCGTAACAATTGAAATTTTAAAATGTATTTAACTATTGGAGTTTTTCTTTTCTTTTCTTTTCTTTTTTTTTTTTTATCCCTCCTTTAGCTGTTTTCGTTATACATTCTCAAGGTACTACTGAGTATACAATTTTCTATTTGGTTTTAAATTTTTTTTGTTATTTTTTGTTATTTTTTTTTAACATTTTCCAGATGTATTCCTTTAAGTACTTCCTTTGGGCATTAAGAACCTTTTTATTCTTTATGCAGAACGATCTATTTTCCGCTGATTCGTTTTTATTTTTTGCTCAACGTTTACCTTACAGATAAGCAATATTGTTGCTTTAGCTAATCGAAAGAATGAAATAGTTAATGGTATGGGTAGGCTTAATGGAGTAAATAGCTTTCATATGACAATGGCAGTGAAAGGAAAAAAGGATTAAAAGGACGAAAAAAATTATAAATTAAATTAAATCAGCAGTCGACTGCTAGTAAGTAACATTTCAATTTCAATGGTTTTCTCTTCTTTTCCTTTTTCCAAGTCAGATTAACGTTGTTAGGAATTATACCTAAGTTAACCGTAACACATACTGTACGCATCTCCTCTTGTAAACACAAATATGGGTAAATATAGGTTGAAATGTTGCTTTCTTATTTATATTGGTGCTCCGAAGCAAAGAAGATGGCGGGATTCATAGGAATCGTAAAACTAATGGAAGCCAACAAAAATCTTTTAGATCGCTGTACGAATTGCCCACACAATTAATGGAAATAAAAGAATCTATTAATAATATTTCTTATTATTTCAGATAAGGGCAAAAAATAAATCTATCTGGAAAATGAAAACAGTTTCCTCCTTTTTTGTAATTAGTCGAACGTCTTAAAGAATTGATCAATTATCATTCCGAACGTTTCATCCAACTTTTTTGTAATTCTCTGCATTACTAACTAAATAAAACTTTCGTTGAGTCGATTGCTTACCATTTTTTTGATTATTATTCAGATCAGAAAGAATAGGGAATATATATCAAGAAAAACTCTTCTTAATTTATATGTAATAGTATAGAGCAAATGCAGGTTATATACAACAAATAATTGACAATTTTTTTATTTATAATTAAAAAAATTATTTTTATGATTTTAATTATTCTAATTATTTTAAATGTGCCCAAGGCAATAAAAGTCATCTTCGCTGTAATTTTCTTTTCCTCTCTTAGAATAAGAAGAAGTTATCAGAAGTAGCAACTCAGGCAAAGCCCCGTTGCTTACGCCAATATTTCATTCAATTGCAATTAGAGGTTACACGAAAGCATCCTTTTGCCTAAGCAAGGCTTGCGAATTTATCAGGCCCGCAGCTTTTTAACGAATACGCAGCCAATTAGAGCAACGCTTATGAACTCTTGAATTTTACAGCAGTGTGTCCACGGCATCACTGATCATTTTCATAACAACAGAGTTTTTTCTTTACTCTTGGACAACATATGAATTTGTAAAGTCGTCAGCATACTGGGCTTGGTCTCGAAAACGGAAAGACCGATAACTTTCATATGATTGTTTCAATAATTATTATTATTGAAAATAGTAAAAAAATATCGCATGAAAGTGTTCAAAAAACTGATTCCATCTTTTCGATAAGAGAATTCGGATGACATGAAATTTTTATCCAAAAAAAATTATCAGGTTTGACGATGAAAACGTCAAAGATTCTACTTAAGAGCACAGCATCTGTCAATAGTTATCGAGCATTATCGAGTACTTCACACATAGCTTCTCATCGTTCAATTCATTCCAGTACGTCTGTCCATCTGTTGATGTTAAGCAGTTAAGTAGTAGTAAAACATATTCTAATGTATTAAAATTAAATTCTCTTTTAAATTCTCTTCTTCTTTTTCCTCTTTTTGTATTCGTATTCCACTAAGTTCGAATATCGATCAATCAATCAATAGATTTGAAGGAGAGATTGCTCTACGATTATAAAGGCCACGTAAGCCAATATGTGTTAAGGTTCAAACGTGTTTTATTTTGTTTTTTCTCTTTTTTTAAATTTTTTTATAATTCTTTGTAACAATTATTCAATTTAAAAATATTGAAATTTTTCGTTTCCAGCTATTTGAACTGTCTGTGCCTAGGAGAAGGAAGGACGTAAATTATATAAAATTTTTCACGCAATTGTGTTCATTACTTCCACAGGATTTTTTGCATAAAAATCAATTAGAATCCAGTCGTTGGTTAGATCATAAAAAGCGTTAAATTACCTGAACAAATTTATGATGAAAATATGCATAATTTATGCTGTAACTTTTTACAACACTTTAACGAGATATACCTCGCATCACAGCAAGAGTGAGCAACAGTAACTAAAGCAACAACAACAATAATAATAACAGCAAAAACACAAAATATTACGACAACAACGTGTACAACTAATGCGACATTAATGCTGCAACACGTCCCAACACAGAACAATTGCAAAAATATTTATGGTATGGACACTAAAAAAGGACGTCATTAGAAAGCAATAATTTACGTGAATATGACAACAATAGCCACACACAGCACACATTTATATATCTCCATCTCTCCATAAAAAAAAAGAAGAGAAAAACAATAGAAAAGAAAAAATCTTTTATTAAATTGTATCAGAATTTTCCTAAATTTTTACGAGTTTTTTTTTTTTTAAGTGTGTTTTGACAATGCGTGACTTTAAACCACAGACAGAGAATTATATTTAAATGAATTTTTTTTTTTTTTTTTTTTTTTTTTTGGGTTTTCCAAACACTGAGCATTTCTTCTTACGGCACCGAAGAGCGTTAAGCCAAATTACATCAAGCAAGGCATAACCACAAAAAAAGGATCTGCCTTGAATTTTTCCATCATGAACAATTTTAAATAATTAAGCAACCGGTCTTGATATATATATATATATATATATATATATACTTTTAAATGCATACAGCTATGTAAACAGCATATATATTGTTGATATATATATTTGTAGGTACATATAGGAGAGTTTTCTAAAGTGTTTATTCTGAACTATTGTTATATTCGATATTTTAAGAAAAAATTCAAAATAAAAAAGAAATATATATATATATATATATATATATATATATACTTTTCTGCAATAATACAAGCAAACATAAGCATACATTTGAAAAGCTATTACAAAATTTTGGAGACATTCTGGTGTAAAGTAAATAAATCGAATTTGTAAAATGTCAGAAAAGTTGAAGAAAAACGTAAAATTTTTACAAATGCCATCAAATCAGCAAAAATTGTATATATAAAAAAAAAAAAAAAAACGATAAAGAGAAAAGAAAAACGAATGTTACTACAAACCAAACAGTAGTAGTTGAAAAAGGTAAATAATTCGATTCATATATAGATGTACGCTTCCATAGACCGACTTCGTCAGACAAACAAACTCTAGACAAATGTAATAAAACAAGTTATCGAAGCAAATCCTTTGAAAATGTTTTTTGTTATGGAAGAAAGAAAAAAACAAAAAAAAAAGAGGAAAAAGAAAACCATATAAAAATAAAAAAGATATATAAACGAAATCCAAAACAGACCCACATTGTAACTGACAATTGAAATCCATTGTTGGTTAGGTTTGCGTGAACACTTATATATATATATATATATATATATATATATATACATATATAAATAATATATATATATATATATATTTGTGTGTGTATATATACATATATAAATAATATATATATATATATATATATATTTGTGTGTGTGTGTGTGTTGCAGTGTGTGTGTGTGTGTGTAAACAACAGAAACGTTATTTTTTTTTTTTTTTTGTTTTTCTTCATACACAAAACGTTACAATCTCTACATTGAATCAACAGGATGTCGATGCTTAAAAAATTAATTCAACGCAATATCACAAAACAACATTTTTACACACACCTAACGCTAACAATATAATAATAAAAAAAGAAAAAAAGAAACAAAAAAGAATCTATTTAAAAATAGAAAATGAGTTTTTTTTTTTCATTCTTTTAAATGTTAAGAATAATATTCCGATCAGACATGGCATTAGCTAACGCAAACAAGCCCATAGTATTGGGAGAAATTTCATAAGCAATCAAAGTATGATGTCATAGACAATAAATTTCTTTTTTAGTTTACTCCAGTAATGTTGGTCGCAAAAAACATCTAAAGGTTAAAGAAATTGAACAGGGGGAGTTTAGTCATGATCGTTAGTCTGCAAAATTTAATTTTTTTCTTTAGTCCCTTATGGGTGATTGCCCTTTCCTTCTTTGAATCTAATCAAACATCGCTTGGAAGCTGACAAACATTCTCGCATATAGTATGCTATTGTCTTAGTTTAATTCCATCTCAAAACCTGCTTCGATTCCATTTAGATATATAACCAGTCTTGAAGACTTGAAGAAAAGCCGTTCCCTTAATGCGTTGAGATCATTCATTTAAAAATGCAACTAATGTAAAGTTGTAAGTGGTCCGGGATGAAAGACCATATATTTATAAGAACATTGTTACACACTTTATCTCAGTTATTTTGTAAGCCAGTTCCTCCAGTTAATGACAATGATCTTGATTTGGTGAATGCGAAACGACCGTTGCATCACGTACTTATTACTGGCTAATTATTGTAAGGCAAATAAATAAAGTTCAAGAAATTTAGTTATTATTGTTATTATTATTAATTTCGCCAGAGAAACAAATTTTAAGACAAAACTCTTAAATCACTAGCATGCATCTAAGGCTATCTATCGGCTTTCATTAAAAACTTTACCGCACTTGAGTTTCGAGCCCATGACCATTGAGTTGCTAGTCGAGATGCCTCGCGTTCGGCCACTCAGGCGGATATTGAAATTTCGTTAAATTCGATTTGTCCACCAATATATTTCCAGATCGAAAATACATGGAATACATTTTATAAGTAAAGAAGAAGAATTTGTTGGAAATTATCGATCCATTTTACCAAGTTAAGAGTAAAAGAAACGGACCAAGACGTGATTTTTAAACATCGTTCATCATTTCGCTGAAATGAAGATGAACGATAGACAGATGAATAGAAGCATGGAAGGAGTGTGAAGTAATGATTCGAAATTATTCAACGAATGTGTTTACCGGGTCGTCAGCAGTCGACCCGGTGTCTTGTTGTGGATATAATTTACTTATTTATTTATTTATTTATTTTTCTAATACAATTTCTTTAGTTATTGTTGTTGTTAAGAAAGCAACAGCAATTGTGGCAATGAATGGTAAATCTTTAAGGATTATAGCAAAGGAAAAGGAAATCCTTAAAAAAAATCTGCTGCAAGCAGTAAAGATAAAAAGCAGACTACATTCGCTCTTGCACTACACTATCCTTATATAAAAACGTATGGTTTACGTTTCTTTTGCACAAGTAATATATATAAAGATTGTGTGTATGCGAAAAGATCGTATTTATGTGTTCGCGCATTTGTTTAAGGTGACATTTATGCAAATTCCAAATTGACGCCTTGATTCTGCAGATGTTTGTCTCTATAGACAAGCATGCAACGCCATGATACAATAGAAGATGTACATGCATGGGGATGAAAATTAATTGATATTAATGTTGATACGTGTTTGTCTTTTTTATTTCTACAATTGATTTTTTTTTTTGTTTTGTTTTCTTTTTTTTTTTTTTTTTTAGATTGTGTTTTATTGTATTGGTATATGGCATTGTATAGATTTTCTCAGTTGGTTAAGAAGTTAGAAAGGGAGCGAGAAAGAATATCTATTTTCTCGTACGGAGATATTATAAAAGCTAATGATTTCAAGGGAAATAATTTCTTTTACTTCATTTACAATAAACTGCAATAAATACACTCTTAACAAAAACGAGTGAAGTGTATTTCTATAGATGTTCACTAAGTTAGAGACTAAAAAATAGTGTATTAAATTTTCCGGCACAAACCTTTCAAATCTTTGTGAAAACATTTCAATGGAAAATTCTTTAAAAAAAGTTGAGATAATAATGATAGAAGAACAGCTCGTTACCCTACAATCTATAGCAATGGCAGTTGCAATCAATATCGTTCTTAAGTAGGATTTTAAGTTTTTTGTTAATACGATTAAGCTACAATTGAAGCAATAGACGTTAAATATTAGTTGTAAGGATTCATGGCAAATTTCTAATCAAATCAATTTATATTTTGTATCTTACACATTGATCGAATTACGAACTTGCTGATCTTTTTCACACAACATTTCGCAACATGTACATGTTATAAGGTGTTGTGCTATCTTGGGCAGTGTCAGTGAAAGCAATAATTCCCATCAAAAGATTTTAGATCAAAGAGAGCGAAGAAGAAGCAGAAGTTTTATAGTGCTGAGACTTCGAACTAAGGAAAAAAAATAATATATGTCTATAACTTTACCCGCGTTTTTCGCGGGTGTTGATATTTTTCAAAACGGCTGGTAACAAGATTCAATCAGTTGTCCCTATTTAACGTAATACTCTACATGTATTCTTGGACTGCGTACAAGAATTTTCGACATTCCTGCTAAGTTTGAAGTCGACAGCTTCCCTTCTGCAGCCAGGAGAAGGAGTTTCCAACAGACATTACACAAATGGACAGACGGACAGATGGTTAAGCTTAAATCGCTTGAGAATTCGATGATGATATATATATATATATATATATTTTGTGGCGTCTCTAAAGCTTCCTTCTGGGCGTGCGCAATCATTTCGACAAAATGTATATAGCCTTTCAGCGATATGTATAAAAATTCGGATATGTTAATGCCTTGCTTTACACTTCTTAGTATCGTAATTAATATGAAGTTTAGAAATTTTTAATTATATTCTTAAATTCATGCATTCAGCCTTTCATTGAATTGCTGTAACATAACATAACATGTTGCTATTGTTCAATTTGATGGCTCGTTAAAGGTATAACAGATTAGGAATATATTAGATCCTCGGAATATATTAAATTCCCTTCTCATCAACGTATTCTCAATGCAGTTGAAAACATTTTGCTCGACAGTGTTGTAATTTGTAGTTGTACCTTTACACTATAAATACTGACTACGGATCATTTATTTTTATTGATAGTTTTATAAATATTTATATTCCCGTACCTGGACATGTGTACAGACGTAAGCGGAGATTTTATAATTATTATTTTTTGTGTGTGTTTTTGGTCTCCGTTATAAAGAATAGAGCGAGCCTGTTTTCCCTTATTTTGGGACTTTTTTTTCTTATTTCATTGTTGGTTGTGTTGTTATTATTCTGTCAACATTTCGTTAAATTAGTTTTTTACCACCAACAACAGTTAAAATAGTAAATCAACAAACTTTATTGGTATTGCATGCACTTAGTTGTGTCAAACGAACAATAAATGGTGCATGGAGAGTAGTCAGCATGA